CATGACTAAATAAAGGAAAGTTAATCACGATTGTGAAATCTTTAAAACTTTTAAACAGGAAGAAATTAAGGATGAAAAAGGCACTGAAAATGTTATTGCGGATCATTTGTTAAAATTGACAATAGATTTAACATCTGATATCACATTAATCGATTATTACTTTCTTGTTAAATCTTTACTTTCTCTTAGTTCAATGCCTTGGTTTGCTAAAAATATCAATTATTTTGCTTCAGAAGATTTTTCAGCTCATTGGAGTACCGAAGACAAAAGAAAATTTTTGAGCGACATGCAAAATTTTTATTGGGATGACCTTTACTTATTCAAATATTATCCTGATCAAATATTTCAAAGATGCGTTCCCAACAATGAGGTAAGTAATGTCATTAAATTTTATCACTCTAAGGGATATGAGGATCATTTCTTGTAAAAAAATTGACTGTAAAAATCTTATAATGTGGATTTTATTGGCCCAATATGATCACGGAGTCACATGCATCCCGCAAAACTTGTGAAAATTGACAAAAGGTGAGATTTATTTCAAAATATAAAAAGTTTTTAAATAATCTTCTATTGACTCTTAAGTCCATCAAAGTGGATATATACATCGTACAATTCATGATTTATGACCCCATTTTTATAAAGATCATGATCGGCTTATTCTTAGAAATCTGACTAAAAAAGACCATGTTTGTTAGTTTTTAAGAAAATTGAATGGGAAGCCTATCCCCGATCCATAGAAGGCGTTTAATACATTCTTGAATGTAAAGATCACTCTAAGGCATATGAAGATCATTTCTTGTAAAAACATTGACTGTAAAAATCTTATAATGTGGATTTTATTGGTCCAGTATGATCACGGAGTCACATGCATCCCGCAAAACCTGTGAAAATTGTCAAATGGTGAGATTTATTTCAAAATATAAAAAGTTTTTAAATAATCTTCTATTGACTCTTAAGTCCATCAAAGTGGATATATACATCGTACAATTCATGATTTATGACCCCATTTTTATAAAGAACATGATCGGCTTATTCTTGGAAATCTGACTAAAAAAGACCATGTTTGTTAGTTTTTAAGAAAATTGAATGGGAAGCCTATCCCCGATCCATAGAAGGCGTTTAATACATTCTTGAATGTAAAGCCAAGGAAAGATGTGAGTCACAATCACAACTGCAATTTGAGTCTTAGTTTGTAAAAACTTGTGTCTTTTGGTTTTATTAATAGTATAAT